AGGATAAGCTGCGTATGAATTTTTTACAATATACAGAATGTCCCGTAATTCCTGCACGCGTTTCTTTTATTATTTATATTATTTATTAAATTTGTTTTATTACACTTTCCTTTTCATTCTTATGGAGAGTTTTTTAGTACTATTCTTATTAGTACGATTGAATTAAAAACCTGCATATCTATCTCGTGGTGAAATTATAAGCCTGTTTTGCATGTCTCTTTACCATTCTATAGAAAAAACATTGATTATCTTATATTCTTTATTTCCGATCGCGTTTGTGATTTTGTGAATTGCAGTTGGCTTTATTGTCATAACCGCGTCATAATTCCATTAGGTTAAAGCTAATACTTTATTAAGTAAACATTTAATTTTATATGAGCTGTATGTACAATATGCGGTAGAAGACAAATAAATATTTTGCAGACTGAACAGTTTGTCGAGATTTTTTAATTAATTTTTCCGTGACAATTACACACTATAAATGTGTACAGAACATAGTTCCGCGAATACATAGTTCTGCTTTCTAATTATTATTAATTGTGTGTATAATTTTGTTGAAAATCGTTGTTTGAGAGATAAACTCTGCCAATATCATGGAATTTTTAATTTGTTGAAATTGCTAGTCATTATATGTAGAAAATTAATTAACTTTAATGAATAATATGCCATTTTAAAATGATTTTTAAATGATTCGTATAAAAGATACGATAAGATTCATCGCAATGGTGTGATCAATTTGCAAAGTTTTCAACAGATTCGACGAGACAAGGTCAAGAAGAAGTATTCAGTGCAACGTGACCGTGACACCAAGAAGAGGAAACGCACGTTTCCTGATACTGGAACATGTCGAAAGAGAAACCATATGGTCCTGACATCCGAACGCGGATTTGACGATTCTTCGATTAGACTTGCGCGACGCGTGCTACAACATTTTTCGAAATAAGATAAACTGAAATACACGTGAAAGATTAAATTCTGGCTGTCAAACAAAGAGAGTAAAGTTGATTTCTGAGCGAAGTCTTCTCGAGATATAAAGTGACATTATTCGATTTGCCCCTAAATACGCACACAGAATGGTTAAGAGTTTTTTTCAGCAACCATCTTCAGCAACAGTAAGATAAAATCAGAACAAAATGTTGCAAGCAATTTTTGTAATAATATAATTTATTTTAATAATAATATGTTTCATAATAATATATCGCTCTTTCTTTACAATCGGCAGAAATAATACAATTGTTTTTTGTTAGAAAAAAATATGCAGATTTAAAATTCTTTTAAATTCAAATGCTTATGTAATTATGGTATAAATAAGTAAAAACCTCGACAATTTAATGAATTAAAATTTCAGCGATGAAAATAAGAGATTTCTTCTTTTTTTCATTTCAAAGCAAAATTTATCATAATAACACTATATTTAATTAATTTCATTGTAATAACTGCATATTTATAGTAATAATATTTTATCGTAATAACATTATGTTTAATAACATTATAATCTGAGAGTTTGTTATAGAAATACGAATAAAAATATTAAATAAATAAAGTTATAAAGATATAAATACATTATATTATGTAACGCGAAATCTTGTAATTTTTTTCATTATGTTTAAATAAAATTTGTATTGACAGAATTTTAATTAAAACTCTCTAATCAGCAAGGTATTTAATATACGCAAAGTTATGAAGGAAAAAATATTCAGATAAGTTTCTTTACAAAAAGAGAATCGATCTCAAAGTAGTCAAAGAATTTGAAAAAAGAGAAAAAAGTTTGAAAGAAAATGAGAGACAATAGATCACACGGAATATAACGAGGCATCGAACCGTTAACAGCCTGTCGTGTTTAGAACCGTCCACGTACTTACAAGTACTTATCCACGTGCCATTCTGCCGCCCTAGAATACCATGCGATCGCAAGTAAACACTTTCAACACGAGTTTGCTCGCCGACGAGGCTCGAATAAAATCACAACCTGTTACACGCGACGGAAGCGTCGCGACGCGCCTGTAATTGCGCCCGCGTTACTTGAATTCTCGCCGAGAGAGAAAGAGAGAAAAAGGAGCGTGTATATACAGATGATTGTTGCTTCCGTCCTCTTAAAGAAGCAATAGAACCGCCAGGATTTCGCTAAAAAAAAAAGAGATCTACTTTATTTTCTCTTTCCGTGAAATTATTCTTCCCGTAAAAATTGCTATATCTTTTAAAACTGTTTATATTTTCGATGCATTTTGATTTAAAAATTGAATATTTAATTCGAGAAGAGAGAGTATTATTCAATTCACTCTAGTTCTCTGTTGCGTAATATTATAGCAAGTTGAAATAACCAGAAAAATTGTTATTCCGGATGGAAATATATTATCCGCTTGTGAGTCCATCATCTTGCTACACAAAATGCTACGCGCGAAATAAATACCTTGATCAAAATATTTCGCACGAGAAAAATTTAATGTTAAATTCAAATTTGCTTCTTGCGATTAATGACTTGTTTGTGTATTTTCCTCTGCTTTCCCGAATGAATAATATTCAATGTTAATTATAGGTATAGATTTAAAAACGTTGCATGATCACATCAATCTGTCGCGCGCGCACGCATCGCGTAATTATGTTATATATTTATTAATATTTATTATCAATACTGAAAGATTT